CGGGAGTGGGAGGGGGGAAGGGCGGGCCGGCCCTAACGGTCTATTTCAAGGTGACGTCACCTACTATAAATAACTGCGCCACCGCCCCGCCCGAGCGCCGCGCAGGCGCCCTGCGAGTGCTGCATTTACCGCCGCAGAGGTGGAGGTGGAGGTAGAGGTGGAGGTGGGAGAGGGGAGAGCCCGGGCTGAGACTGCGGAGCCCGGGGACGGGGCGCGGTGATGGCGGCTGCACAGGCAGTGCTTTGTCACAGCCCCACAAGCGCCACTGAGTCCATGTTGGAGATCTGGCTTGAGAACAGCTCAAAAAGCAAATAAACCTACTGCATAGAAAAGCTCGGAGTCCGCATGCCCCGAGGGGTGGGCCGGGCCCGCCCCTGCTGTCCCGCCCGCCCCAGGCCCAGCCCGGCTGTAGGGCTCCGCGGGACCACACCCTGCGCTGGGTCTGCGCCGGCTGGGACAGGATCGGTCCGGCCCTTGTGGACAGCCCCACCACACACACAGACACACACACACACACCCACAAGCCCACACACACACCGGGCTGCAGAGCTGCAACCCCACCCTGAGGCGTGGTCTTGGGCCGACTATGCCTTCCAGGAAAGGAGGGACTTGGTGGCCCGGCTGGGCCAATAACCTTGACAACCCACCTAGTAGGAGAGCGCCTGGTGCAAGGCCTTACAAGGCACTGCTCTGTTTAGACCTTGCGGTATTCTTGGTGAGCACAGCTGGTCCCCCCAATATTCCAAATGTGGAACTTGAGTCAGAGCAGAGTTAATGACTTGCTCCAGGTTACACAGCCTACCCTGTAAGCGGTGGAGCCGGCATCTGATACAAACCCAGGCTGGACTGTCCCACCTGTGCCAAAGAGGAGGAGACTGGTGGATTGGTCACTAAGTCACTCCCAGTCCTGGCGTTGAGTACTAAGGTCCCTTGTGTGAGGCCTTGGCTGGACTGCCCAACAGGCTAGAAAAATCCTGACGGAAACACCACCCTGACAAGGTGGTTCATGTCTGTAATCCCAGCTACTCAGAGGCTGAAGGGAAGTTCAAGGCCAGCCTGTGAAACACCAAGACCCTGTCTCTTAAAAAAAAAAAAAAGAAGAAAAGAAAAAGGGGTCAGGTAGTTGCAACAATAGTGCAATTGGACCTACATGAGGAGGTTCTAGGTTGGTGTCCCTGGACATCCCTGTCCACACCGGAGAGGTGTGTGTCCATGATCATGGCTGGCTGGGAGTAGATGGCTGTGTGAAGAGCCGGTTGGGAGTGCCTCTCTCTTTTTCTCTGCCTTCTGTAAGAAACAAACAAACACAAACTTTTTCTTTTTTGAGAGGTTTTTGCTATAGGGCATGTGCGCTCGCCAGACAGAGAGACAGAAAGTGAGAAATCACCCCCACAGGGGGGATGGCCACGCTGCAATCCCTTCTCCACGCTGCAATCCCTTCTCCTCCATTCTCCTCTCAGGATCTTGGGCACACATGCACACGCGCCCGGCGTGAGTTTAAGCCGTGTGAGTTTAAGCCGCCAGGTCCAGGACTTGAACCGAGGTCGACTACATGGGAGTCCAGAGACATAACCATTACGCTAACTGCTGGTTCCACAAACAAAAACTTTTGAAAACATTTTTTAATGTGTTGGCTAAGGTGGCTGGATCCCATATGGTCAGCCTCATAGTTCCAATCCAGACCCGGGGGCTTGAAAACATGCCCGGCATGTGTGCATGGGTGCCCAAAACCCAGAGGAAGATGATGGAGAAAAAGTTTGCAGTGTGGCCATCCCTCCCAGGGGGTGCTTTCTTACTCACCTCTCTCTGTCTCTCCCCTTCTCTTTTTTTCTGGCAAGTACACATGTCATATAGCAAAAGCAAACAAACAAACAGAAAAACACCACGGGCTGACTTAAATATGTTACGCCAAGGGCAGTGCAGAAGAAGGGACCTTTGGCTTGCTGAGAATTTGATTGAGCACCTACTGCACACTCAGCACTGGGAGGGAATGGAGAACTACGGAATGAGTAAGACATAGCTGTCCTTCTGAGAAGTAGAAATCAAAATACAAAAGAGCAGGTAGACTGGGCCTTGAAGGAAATGAGGTTCAGGAAGAGATAGCAGGGTGTGGAGTACAGCTTAGTCAAAGGCACGGCGGTGAGAACAGAAACACAATCTGGGAGGTGATGAGAGAAGCCTGCCAGTGGGAAATGAGGTTAAGTAAAACAAGATTATAGAGTGAATTTGTTTCGTTTCGTTTTGTTTTTAAATTTTTATTGCTAGAGGGAACGCACACTTGCCAGAGACAGAGAAAGGAAGAAGATGATCACGCAAGGGGGCATGGTCACGCGGCAACCTCACGCAATGGGGCATGGTCACGCGGCAACCTCTCTCTCAATTCTCCACCCTGTAAGGATCTGGACACACACACACACATGCACAGCCAGCCTGTTTTTCAAGCCTCTGGGCCAGGATTCAAACCACAGTCAATTGGTAGGCCAGAAGGCTGACCCCAATGGAGTGTTTTAAATGTCAGGCTGAAGTTTGAGACTTCAGCCTTAGGTAAATAGAACCACCGGAAAGCCAGATTGCAGGCCAAGAATTTTTTTTTTTTTTTTTTTTAAGAATTATTTGTTTAGGGGCCAGCAGGTGGTTAAGGGAGCTGGACTCCCATATGGCCAACCATGGTTTGAGTCCTGGACCTGGCAGCTTGCTTTCTCACTTTCCCTTTCTCTCTCTCATTCTTGCTCTGTCCTCTCTGATCAAATTAAAATAACTAAATAAATACAGTTAAATACAAATAATTTTTAAAATAATTATTTAATTTTATTATTGTTTTAAAAATTTGCTGTAGGGCACATGCACTCACTGGAGAGGCAGAGAGAGAAAGTGAGAAAGCAAGCCACCAGGTCCAGGATTTGAACTGTGGTCAGCCATATAGGAGTCCAGCACTTTAACCACCATGCCACCTACTGGCCCCTCTTTTTTGTTTGTTTGTTTTGTCATTTTGGTTTGGAGTTGTTGGTTTTTTGTTTTTTTGGTTTGTTTTTTGTGGGGTTTTTTTTGGGGGGAAGCAGTATTTCTTCCATGAAGGAGAGAAGCAGAGAGAGAGACATCACTCCCAATAGGATCCTGAAGCCGCAATGCGCCCCTAGCCTCAGCCAACCCCAAAACAAGGGCATACACATGCCCAGCATACTCAGGGAGATCTCCAGACATGAGCCAGAACTTTCCCATATGGGTCATCCTCACAGAACAGGCCCTTGGAGCGTTACCTCTGGGCCACCTATCTGTCCAGCCCTGGGCCAGGAGCACTGCTCTGGAGAGTGATATGCAGCTGAAAGGAGAAGAAAGGAGCTGGAGAGACTAGGCCTTTTCTGGCCCTCAGATTTGCCATCAAAAATTAGACTCAACTGCTAGAAGGACTATGATAGAAACCCACCTCCAATGGGCCAGCCAAGTGACAGAGTGCTTAAGGCCTGGATCCCGCATGGCCAACTTTGCTGCTGGATTCCTACACCCGGAGGCTTGAACAACACGCCAGGGGCGTGTGCGTGCGTTTTAGATGATAATGGAGAAGGGATTTAGACATGACCATCCCCCATGGGGTGCTTGCTCACTTCCCTTTCTCTCTCTTTCCAGGTCTCTCTCTGGCAAGTGCATGCACCCTAGAGCACAACTAAAAGAAAAAGAAATGCCCATCTTGAATGTCAGAGCTGGCCGGACTCTTAGAGTCACCACTGTCCAATCCCTCAGCTCTGAGGAGGAGACGCTGGTCCCCCTTTTTTTTTAAAGAATTATTTAATTTTTTTTATTCATTGACATTATTTCATTTATTTATTTATTTATTTATTTATTTATTTATTTATGTTGACCAGAGAGAGACAGAAAGAGAAGGGAGAGAGAAAAGGAAAGCGAGAAAGCAAACTGCCAGGTCCAGGACTTGAACCACAGTCAGCCATGTGGGAGTCCAGCTGCCTTAACCACCACACCACCTGCCTGCCCAGCCCTTCTGGCTTTTCGGATCATATTGAACTGAGATTGATTTCAAAATAGTGAAAATTAAGTAGAGCTGGAACATTCTAAATCATTGATTTTTTTTAAATTTTTTTTATTTTTAAGAGACAGCGCCTTGCTATGTTGCCCAAACTGGTCTCAAACTCACAATCTTCCTGCCTCAGCCTTCTAAGCAGCTGGGATTACAGGCATGCCACCACCACACCTGGCTTCTCCATCGCTGAATTTGACACGTATCAATGACACTTTGGTTCTCCCATGAAGCTTTTCTTTCCTTCTTACCAAATTGCTCTCTCTACTTCCTCA